AAGTGCTTCCCCCAGAATTAGGTTTTAGGGAGGGTGTTGGTGGATAAAAAATGCTATACCCCGGATTTCTTAAGGGCCATGGTACCACTGCGGTTGAACGAATAAAAAATATAGTTTCTTTCTATTTGGTCTCATTCTTATTGACTTTGGAGAAAAATTTTGAAAATCGATATTTTTTTTCAGAGTCCCTTCTTCAAGGTGACAAGGGACTCTGAAAAAACTAGGTTCAACTATAATAGTTAAATGTCAGCTGTACATCATCATCATCAACAGCCTTTAATAGTCCACTGCTGGACATAGGCCTTGGAATAGAATTTTTGGGCTTCTTTACCACGCTGGCCAGGCGGATTTATATAAGATTTATTTCGACTTTTTCTTCTCTTTGCAGTGGTGTTGACCTGCACAGTTTGCTCCCTTAGTCGGCTCTTACGACACCCACGAGATGAATAGGGATGGTGACACTCTGTATTCTTAATCCGTCACCACACAGGATGCTGTACTTAAGATCTACATAGATATCTTAAACTACATAGCAAACATATTCGTTATTTATTTACAAACACGTATCAGTATACCATATATTTATAAATAAATAATTGCTCAACTTAATGGTATTATTCCACTACAGGTTAAATATGAGGTTTGGTAACTGCCGGCCTTGTAACGAATAGCTGTCGTGCAGATGTGACAATACAACTGTGTAATGCAAAAGTATCAGTTGTGAAAGCCGACAGATTAAACGATGATTGCACAGGAACGTTAAGTGTGTAAACATGGTTTGGAAATGGATGGGTGACCGTGATTAGTTGGACAATTGAGACGGTGTAGATATAAGGAAACAATGACTGGCCTGTTGGTAGGTTGGTTAGTGACTCTGGCTGGTAAGCTAGAGGTCGTGGTTTCGATTCCCACTAAGGACAGATTGTTTTTTGTTTTTTTTTTTGTTAAAAAAACAACTCCCCGTATTATGAATATATTCCTGTGTCGCAGGGGTCTTCTACAAACATACATGGAACGGACACAAAGAATACCCAGACTCAGAACAACAATTTGTGGATCACACAAAGTGTAGTCCCATGTGAGGATCGGACCTACGACACTCAGCGTAGTAGGAAGCGGCGTGGCGACCGCTTAAACCGGTAATCCGCTAAATACGCCATCCATGCAGTCATTATCGTTTGATGAGAACGATCAATTAAATTTTGATCTGTGTCTAAACATGTATGTACTTAGAAATATATTATACTTACGTATGTTTATAAGCAGTCGTACATTTAAAAGAATAAATATTATATTTAATAACACAGTAGTACTGAATAACCATAACCTCCTTTCTAAGGAGAGGCTTATGTCCAGCAGTGGACTATTACAGGCTGTTGATGATGATGATGATGATTATTATTATTATATCTGACTCAAGAATCCCATCATACATTCGAAAACAGCTTGATGATCTTCAAGCGGCTGAGCAAATTATATGCTTGAATGCAATTCATGAAGTCATCTTCAATCAAAATCTGTACGTTGTGTGTCTGTATTCAGGAGAGTTTTGAATGGTAAAATTGAAAGCTGTGTGACGTCACATCAGGGGAGATGGGTTAAAAAGTGTCAAATTTGTGTGACGTAATTTATGGATGGCCCCCTACAAAAGGGTTTTCGGCAATTTTATAGGTAAGGGGGAAAATAAATGGTGCATGGCACAAAATGAGAAATAATTGCCCAAACGGTGAACAGACACTAGCGAAACCGCGGACAATAGTTAGTCATTTTGACTGCACGGATGTCTTAGTGGATTAAGCGGTCACCACGCTGCTTTCTACTGCCCTCAGTGTTGTGGATTCGATCCTAACATGGGACAACACTTTGTGTGATCCACAAATTGTTGTTCTGAGTCTGGGCGTTCTTTGTGTCTTAATGCATGTTTGTCAAGACCCCCGCGACACAGGACATTCCTAGTGCGGGAGTTGTTGTTGTTGTTTAATTTATTTTTTAATTATTTTTTAGTTGTTTTTTAATTTATTTATATCTGTATTGTATACAGTTAATACATAAATTAGTTAGAAATATATAGACGTAACAATCGGCGGTCTTATCGCTCACGGCGATCTCTTACAGACAACCTTAATACGGATATTGAATATTTAAAAAATTGGGTAGTTTACATACACGTAACGCATTATCACGTTAAGTCGTAACAATTTTCTCATAACAAAGTCTATTTGTGATTTATATTTTTTATTTTTTTTATTTAAATACAAAACAACTCCCGGTCTTGGTCGTGGTTTCGATTCCCACTAAGGACAGATTGTTTTTTGTTTTTTTTTGTTAAAAAAACAACTCCCCCGTATTATGAATATATTCCTGTGTCGCGGGGGACTTTACAAACATACATAAAACACTACACAAGTAGCAATAACTTCCATGTCTAGTTCTCCTTGACTCTACCCTCTATAATTTAGTCTCGTATTACATTGTGAGTTGTCACATAGCACGATAGATGGCGCTGTATCAAAAATTTAAATCGCGCTATAATTATTTTGAACAAGCTCATTGTATCAATGTGTTTGGAAACAACAGCAACGGGAGTTCGATTCGTTTGTTATGTAATATATATATAGATGTAATTCTCCCCTCAATTAACGTGAACCATTTTGTTTGATTAAAGTTCTGATCTTTCTGGATGAAATCCTCATTCTTCAATGAGTTCTGTGATCATTAGTTGAGGCACTAAGGCCTTCTAGTCTAAATATTTATCAACATTACTTATTGTATGAAATATTATATTATGTATGATTAATTATCTGTGTGTCATGTAAAAAATGATTGAACGTGTTAATCAACAGTAACATGTGCGCCAATTTTTACTCATTACATAACAAATTATAATAAATATGTTAACTATTAAGGAAATGCTAATATAACATAATACATATAAGCTAGACTGTGCTCGTCATTTTGATAAATTAATTTATTTACTAAATCCATCAGTTGCAATTTTCTTAACCTTTGAACTTCATCAATTCTTCCTTCTATGTACAGTCTGTTCTTCTCTCGAATGCGCTCCCAGTTGAAATCAGGATGTCCACTAACCGCTTTACGTTTAAGAAGAAAGTACAAGATCTTCTTAAAAATAAGCTGGCAGAAAAATAAGTTGTGTATACTTGGGACCTCTATGTATATTTGTAGTTATGAATATAGTATTTTATTTATAGTATATAGTGTATATATGTAAGTTAGATTTATCTTAATACATTTAATATAAATAAAATCAAATCCTCTGTTTTCTCTTGCACCTACCGCATCATTTTTCTACATCACCCGAAGGTTGACTGGCAGAGAATGCCCTGGGCATAAGTCCGCCTGTGTACAACTTGTGCATTAAGTTATGTAAATAAATAAATTTTAAATTAAAACATATTTATATACACAAACATTGTCCATTAAATTTCAAACACCATTAAAAAAATAGATATGAATGTAAAGACGATAAAAAAAAAAACACTTGCAACCCTTCAGTGAGTTTCAAGTCAGAGCTCAGTTCTTTTGAAAGGGCTGAGTAGAGAAGTGCGGTCGGCTCCGCACTTCCCTACTGAGTCCGGCTGGTTCAGCCTCGACACCGCTGAAGGTAACTCCACGCTTGCGCAAAACTACAGGCTTCAACGGCGCAACTCTACTAAACCTCCACCCCACAGTCGCCCTCACACTCGCCACAGCGGGAACAAACAGCCTTTTCCATGACCCATGATGCATTAAAGATCTAAACGACAATAACAATATAGAGATATAAAATGAATAGTTATGATTTCGTTCACTTTTACAGAGTTTTTTTTAATTTATCGCTGTTCAGTTTAGATAAGCCACAAAACCGCCTTGCATTCAATAGAAAAGTACGCGATCTTCTTCAGAGTGAATCGGCAGAACAGTTACAACGCTAGTACCCGACTGAATATTTATATATATTATTAAATTTATGTAGGTTTATGTATGTATGTGTGTTAATATATTGTGTATGTCTCTGGACTTGAATTATGTTAAATATAATATTTTATTTTGCACCTATCGCATCATATTTCTACATCACCTGAAGGTTGACTGGGATAGAATGCCTAATGGCATTAAGTCCGCCTTTGTACAACATGTGCGTTAAGTTTAAAGTAAATAAATAAGGTTTTTATGAACTTTTATTTAACTTGTAATTTTCGGAACGAAACTTGGAGGTTAAATTAAAACTACTGCCCGGGTTCCGATTGAGATCAAATTCTGTGTACACATGTATCGTCAGTGACAATACAATAATATACCATGGAGCTGTTCTGATGATGTAGCTGGACGACAGCCAGGACATTCTTAACTCATTATCATCGTCAACAGCCTTTAATAGTACACTCATGGACATAGGACTTGCCTTAGAAATGACGTTTTATCCTACTATACCACACTGGCCAGACGGATTGGTATAGGGTTTGTGTCAAGTTTTCCTTCTCTTCTTTACTAAACAAGATAAACCCAACGAGATTGTGCTTATTTATTATTGGTGAATACTATTGTGGCGACTCCCACATACAAAGAAACAGAAACACACTACAGCGCCATCTAACGAAGACACACCGAACTACGGAGTAACTACTAAAATAAGAATTGCTAATTCTGCATCGCGATATAAAGAATTCCCTCGCCAATTAGCATATATACAACTACCCAACATCCGCCAGCCAGGCCTGATCACCTCGCCTGGTCGGAGGATCCTTCCTTTGTGTTGGAGGGATATGTTCCCGTTCCTCCACACTATTATGCTACATGAAATAGAGGGTAAAGGGAAAAGTATCACATGTGGGAAGTAGTGAGTTTTTTTAAATACAGTAAAAGTTTAAAGTGAGACCATCAGGCTTGACTCTTAATCGTCACTAAAGGTTATACGCCCTTTTCCGTGTTTAATATTTATAAAATTGTTATTTTTACTTAGTAGTAATAATTAAAAGTAATAAATCTTATTGTTCCAGCTGAAGAATTCATCAAATGCAAACAAGGTGACGACAAACTGAACGAGTGCTTAAAGCTTGCGGTACCTGACGCACTGAAGCGCATGAAAAAAGGTAAGTTTTGAACAATTAAATATAATAAAGTATATATAGTTACTTTATTCCTAAGAAACATCATCACATCACCAGCCTATAACAGTCCACTGTTGGACATAGGCCTCTCCTTAGAAAGGAGGTTTTGGCCTACTATACCACGATGGTCGGACGGGTTGGTACAGGGTTTGTTTCAAGTTTTCCTTCTCTTTGCAGTGCTGTTGTCCTGCGTAATTTGCTCCCTTAGTCGGCTCTTACGACACCCACAGGATGAATAGGGGTGGTGACATTCCGTATTCTTAATCCGTCCCCACACGGATAAGAAACAATAAGTTAGATATCACAATACCTAATAATTCGGGACTAATTTAGGGTAATGATTATAAGATATGAGACTTTTATATTTACTCGAGGTTATAATCGAATAGCAGCGATTTCGGTCATTTATAGCATTTTCTATGCACTCAAGCTGCGTTTAATACCAATCTTTATGTTTTTTTTTAAAAGACAACCCCGCATTAGGAATTTATTTACATTACTTTACAAACATACATGAAACGGACACAAAGAACAGCCAGACTCAGAACAGCAATTTGTGGATCACACAAGGTGTCGTCCGCACACACGTATGTTGGACAACTGAACCGACTAAAAGCCATACGCCATAGCAAGTACCAGTAGCCGGGGAACAACGCATACCCTAAGAAGGAAATCCCTGATACCCCGACAGTCGTTTGTGTCCTTATACCTAAAACACACGACAGAAAGAGAGAGCGCCTAGCATTTTCCATATCACAAATAAACAAAATAGCGTATTTGCTATTAAATTAAAAGCAGGCGTCCATTTTGCCATCACTAATTCACAAGCCGGAATTAATTTCTTGCAATTACATTATTCTAGGTATCCAGTCACTTTCCGTGCCTCAGTTGGAGCCGCTGCTCGTGAACGCGATTAACGTTGATTCTGGTTCCGGACCGGTGGTCATCACCCAGGACTACAGAAACATCAAATTATATGGACTGACCGACTCTGTGCTCACCTCCTATAAGTAAGTAACTACTAAGAAACTTACTAACCTCCTTTCTTAGGAGAGGCTTATGTCCAGCAGTGGACTATTAAAGGCTGTTGATGAAGAAACTTATTATTTAAGGTTACAAAAAGCCAATTTTACTAACAGATTTTTTTCTTTTAACTAACTGGCAAGTTAACTCGCATGGAAAGAGTGCCTGGTTTTTGACCAACTCGACATAAGCCTGACAGAACACTGGACATGTTCAGTAGATGAAACTTAAGTTACATCCCTTATTAATTCGTCATCTGGAATTCTGGATATGCCAAGAGTTTTAAGCATGTTCACACGGTGAAACTTAATTTAAATCATTATGTGTTGGCTAACTGGACTCACCCAGTTTTTTTTTCAAAACAGGTTACAGTTAGGTTAAAAATTACCTCGTTCATTAATTCAACCCCCCATATGGGCATTTGTATCCAGTTCCAGTCGAGTTCCTAAAACACTCCACGAAAGTGACAATTTCATTTAAAATTCATTTATTTACATTTCACAATTATGTTTACAGTGCATCTGCTTATTTTACCCCTTTATTGACAGACCACTGTCTGACACCCTAGTTTAGTGGTTGATGTCTATTTGTATCAATTTTCAGAGCCGACCTGAAACATTACAGACTCCGAACCGAATCCATTACTCCGAAGATGGAGTTCATAGCAGATTATATAATGAGAGGCAGAATTTTATTGCTTCCTATCCAAGGAAAAGGTTTAGCGAACATCACTATGGGTAAGTAATTACGGTAACATATATTTTTTATAGTAATCATGTAAATTAGGTATATTATATACATTCCAGTAGGCCAAAACCTCCTTTCCAAGAAGAGGCCTATGTCCAGCAGTGGACCAGTACAGACTGTTGATGATATACAATAGAAACCTATCTATGATGCATAAGCATTGCAATATTTAACCGACTTTAAAAAGTTGGAAGGGTATCAAACGGCAGTAATTTTTATGTTTAAAAAAATTAACACGAAAACAAATCGTTTTTCATATAAGCCCTGTCATATTTTTCATCAGATCATCATAAAATATTGTATGCACATTAGCTGGAATTAAACATAGCAACATGGGGTTTCTTCATATAGAAAAAAAAGAGTTCTTCAGAACGATGGAAATATCACTTTTACGCAAGTAACACCACGGGCAAAAGCTATGAAAAACGTAATATGTTTTAGATGAATGAAATATCTAATGGGTCAGGTTGGCTGTTGGCATGGCGACGCTTCGCCACGGCATGTGTCGCCACGCTATGTGATATTAAATTTAATATGACATGTAAGAGTAATAGATAATTATATTACCTCCTCCTCCTTAACTCCTCCAATTTTCTTCTGATCAATTTCGTTGCTAGGTCCAAGACAGTTTAATGATTTTTTCCTGGGACTTACCGAGTGTCATAACTCGGTGTGTTCGTGGGTCACTGCTGTTGATCCTCGTGTACAGGAATTACAGTGATGGGCGTGTGTGATTAAAAAAGTAATAGATAATTAGTTTAGTATGGGAAGTGCAATTACCGAATGCAGTGTGGCGACGCGTTGCCATGAGCCAGTGACTCATTAAAATAATTTCGATGTTTCACGTTTGCCAGAAGTCCCGTGACAGCAATTTTTTTGTTGTGCTGTGATCTCTTTGGTCACAACGCTACAACCTTACATTTTATTTTATGCACCTACCGCTGTATATTTCTACATCCCCGAAGGTCAACTGGAAGTGAAAGCCCCAAACATTAACTCCGACTGCGTACTATTTGTGCATTAAGTGATAAAATAACATAAATTGTATATCTTAATCTCTATTAATTTCCAGTGAACTTAGTTGTAAAACACGACTTAATAGGAGAACCAGTAGAAAAAGACGGGCAGCTTTTTATGCACCTTCGCGACTACAAGGTGAAGTTCATTCCAGAGCGAGTGTTGCTGAGCTTCACCAATCTTTTCAACGGCGATAAAGCTCTTGGAGATAATATGAATGCGTAAGTAATGATATTGAATATAGATTTTGGGAATTTTCTTGGGCTTTCCAAGCGTCTGACTGCGATTGCAGACACGTTATAGTTGTCTCTAAGGAGTTGTTGAGCTCTATTATATAGCTAACTGAATCAACGACAAGCTCAAAATTGAATTGGTTCTTTATTTCTCTTTGTTAGGTAAACCTAACAGAAGAAAGAAAGAGCTAAATTAAAATTTAATGTACTTATCCGTGGGGTGACGGATTAAGTATACGGAGCATCACCACCCTATTCATCAAATGGGTGTCGTAAGAGACGGCTAAGGGAGCAAACTACGCAGAACAACAGCACTGCAAAGAGAGGAAAAATTTGACACAAACCCGTCTGGCCAGCATGGTAGGCTAAAAGCACCTTTCTAAGGAGAGGCCTATGTCCAGCAGTGAACTAATAAAGGCTGTTGATGTGTGATGTACCTCTACCTACTAAAACCTGCTGTTACTTTTTTTAGATTTTTATTTATTTTTTGAATAACCGGCATGAAATATAACTTTAAAAAAGTATGTATACTATGTTCGGACGCAACGAGATCCGCCGGGTCCTCCAGCTTTATATAAATCTTTCAGTAGAACATACCATTAGCATTGCCATCTATCGTCGAGTAACAGTAAACTAAAACACCATTTTTCAGATTCCTCAACGCAAACTCGGATCTTGTGTTCAGTGAACTGAAAGACTCGTACGAGAAAGCACTAAGCACAGTTTTCAAGACTGTCTCCAACAAAATCTTCGACAAAGTGCCAATGAACAAAATATTTTTAAAGGAATAAATTATTGTAACATAAAAAAATAGGTTTTAAACATTGAGACGAGTTACAAGGACTCAATGACTCCGTCTTTCGTACTCTTTTGTAATTATCTTTTTTAAATAGGGCAATGTACAATAAAAAATAAATTTGTTCTAAACTATTAACTAGTAATAACAATAACTTAAATTATAAAAATCTTCAAGAATGTGGTATTTATTGAAGTTGCTTTAATTAGACTGTTTAGAAGTATTGTATAGCTTTAAGTAAATAATTTTAACTTTTAAAATGAAGTTTTAATCAAACCTTTAGTATAAGAAATCCTTTTTGCACTAAAACTATAAAACAAATTTATGTACGTATTTATTTATTGTGACAAATTACAAAACATTTTGAGCAGAAACAGTCAGAATTTGTATTGAATCAATTTAGTACAGCAACATTTTCATAAATTTCATAATAAAAGTACCGCTGAATCTATTAATACTGGCAACATTTGACAAATACGTCAGTTGGCATTACAAACTGAAAGCTTACGTGTTATTTTTAATATAGCGCCATCTATGAATTAGTGCAGAAAATAATTAGGTCTGCTATATAAATGTCAACAACTAAAAGGTTTTTAAACGTAATATTGGCGGTTTGATGCATCACCCGGCTCGTGATGATACGATTCTCTGCCTGGCTTCATGGGCCTCGTATCATTGAACTCAACTTCACTCGACTCGTCAGCCTCTCGCTGCCTTTGGATTATTTCGGCGTTTTTAATGCACGTCGGCTTGCAGTATATTTCGTTAATCGCAACCACTGCAGAAATAAATGTCATTTAAGAGAGGTTTTATTAAAAATTGAGTCTCTTCTAGTAATCCTCTTTATTATTTAAAAACAATTTAAAATATTAGTTACTCACCAGTTGGTCCCGTCTGCTCGCTTGACGGACCAAGAAGCTCAAACTACGAGTCCATGTTATGAAGATAGATAGATGGATAGATTTTTATTTCAAAGAGTATTTACTTTGTAATATACTTACGAATTGCGACCAGAACTAGGTACACAACTGCCCCCAGTATTAGGACAACGTGATGCATTGCGGCATCTGAACAAGAAAATGGGTTTATGTAAACACTAACAAATCGTCAAAATATACTTCATACATACATATTTATTACTCGCTTACTGCTAACCTACGAGTAATACCCCACTTGCCAACTTTTGATCTCTGGCAATCCTCTTAATGTTAACCTGACAACCTCCGAGACAGGGCATTGCATTCTAAAGGCCAGTTCTCGTAATAAAAGTTCGGTCACAGTTCAGTTCCGATCACATATCGATCTCACAACTGTCATAAAAGATATTTCCGTAGTAAAATAGTAAAGTATTACTAAGACCAGCTAATTACCGATTCAATTTTCGTTTACAATATGATATAATCACATTACAGTCAACGTTGGATGTTTAATACTTTACTAAGAAAATACCTTTTATGAAAATTGTGAGACCGAAAGTTGATCGGAACTGACTTGTAACCGAACTTTTATTACGAGAATTGGCCTTCTGGTATACTATGAGAATCTTTTGTCATTTAGAAGGAATTTACGTGCAACTGCAGACCCACTTTGGACCCATAATGCTTTAGTGTGTGGTGTGTGCCTATTTTGCTTTTTTTTTTCATCATCGGCTTTGCTAAGGAGGGAAGCGTATAATTCCAACTCTTTCAATTTACTCCTGAATTATTTCGTTTCAACTTTTAACTTTTCCTGGGACTTCCCGAGTGTCAATCATTTGACTGCACGGATGGCGTAGTGGTTAAGGCGGTCGCCGAGTGTTGTGGGTTCCAACGGAACATGGGACGACACTTTGTGTGACCCACAAATTGTTGTTCTGAGTCTGGGTGTTCTTTGTGTCCGTTTCATGTATGTTTGTAAAGTCCCCCGCGACACAGGATATATTCCTAATGCGGGTGTTGTCTTTTTTAAAAAAAAAACAACTCGGTGTGTTCGTGGGTCACTGGCAGTCACTACGGTTGATCGTGGTGTTAGACTATCTATATGTTATTAACATTGGCATTGATCTGCTTGATTTATAACCCCTGATAGAAAACGAGGGGTGTAATAAGGTTAACCTGGGTATCTGTCTATCTGTCTGTCTGTGGCATCACAGGACCCGAACGGATGGACTAATTCCGATGTGGATTTTTTATTCGAAAGCCGATGTGATCGAAATGGTTCTTAACTATAAATTTTGAAGATCATCAGCTTACTTCCTAGGTGATGAAGAGATCTCACTAAAATCCACAGGTGGTATTTCCACGACATGGTAGCCTGGAACTTGCTACTGCATCCAGGAGTCTGCGGTAAAGCCAACTCCTTAGCAAATTACAGCGTATTTACCAAGTTTGGGTTTATTAGAACAGTCTTAATAAGCAGTTTATTTTTGTCTCGGAGTTTTTTATTTTTAAATTATACCTTTTTTATATTGATGTATGGATTATTTGATTATGTATGTTCTAGATCTTTAGTTAGGGTCTAGGGTCTATCTTTATTTAAGTGTAATATCTCTCTGGATATTATTATTACGATATATCGTGTACTTATTATCCTGCGAGACAGCAGTGGTTGTTATGTTTATGGACGCTGAGAGAAGAATTTTGAATGAATGGAATTTTAAAAGTCAAAAGACCAACCGTAGCCTACTGGTTAAGGCATTGGACTTGGGATCAAGAGATCGTGGCGTGGGTTCAAATCCTGACCAGTACACTACCGACGTGAACCCACTCCTTTTTTTTACGTGTGGAAACCCCCTCGGGCCGTCACCCCACCGGTGTTTGCGGCGGGGTGGTGTGTCGGAATCGGACCAACTAAAACCAAACGGTGTACCACTCTGCGCCTGTAAACTGTTAACTGTTGTTATGTTGTGGAACTGCTGTTATTATCCGTGAACCGTGAACCCACTCCTGACACAAGCAATTTAGTTTACGAGAGGGGTTAACGGGAATACTAGTAATTTCTGTTGCTGTTCTTTAAAAAAAAAAACATCCCCATCACTTGGATACTTGGCACTGCACTACTGTACGCTTTTCAAAAGAATTTTTACCTCACACAACCAATATGTGGAAGAAATTAACGTCTGCGGTATTTCCGGACTGATACTACCTTCATACCTTCAAGAACTGCATACTGCTACCTCAAAGACCGGCAACGCGCTTGTGACTCCTGAGTTGCAGGCGTTCATGGGCGGTGGTAGTCACTTTCCATCAGGCGTCCCGTCTGCTCGTTTGCCCCCTATAGCATAAATAAGAGTCAATTGTGGGAGAGTCATGATCAGATTGGTTGGTTGGAGAGTCATGATTCGGCACAGATGGTCTGCTCGACAGGAGTGATGCCACGACCTCACAGAAAACGTTGTTAAGTAATTTGCTTTTCACCGAATGAGTAAGGTTACCGTAGCATAAACCTCCCCTCCATCTAATAATTCTGGGGGAGAACTCTAAAGGCGGCAATTCACTTGATAGGTGTCCATAAAGGACGATGTCATTTGTTATCAGGTCTGTTCGTTTGCCAACTAAAAATTAAAAAAGTATATTTATTTTATTATTGACGGGCCTGTTGGTCTAGTGGTTAGTGACCCTGACTGCTAAGCCGGAGGTCGTGGGTTCGATTCCCACCCGGGACAAATATTGTGTGATGAGCACGGTCCATTGTTCTGTGTCTGGGTGTAATTTATCTATAATATGTATGTATTTAAAAATATATAATTATGTTTATCAGTGGTCTGGTTACCATAGCACAGGCTCTGCCTAGTTTGGGATCAGACGGCCGTGTGTGAGATGTGTGAAATTATTTCTGGGGATTCATTAAGAACAGAACGTCGACTTACCATGCTTAAAAATGATTTTGTCAATATGTTCATATGACTTTAAGATACTCAAAGAAATGTTTTGACAGACATTGCATGTCTAAGAATTTCAAGGTATTGAAGCTTAGGCTGATATCCTGCTATTCTCATATTTGGAGGATTTAAAGAAGAGTCCTTAAAATGTTGGTAGTTGAAACTTACCTAGGTCTGGAGATCCTCACCAGCTCTCTAACAGACAAGAAGGCAGCAAACACAATAAGAAGGAAGAACAATGTCGTCCAGAAGTTAGTTACCATAAGCACCATCGTGGGCGATGCATCACGTTTAGGGAATCCTAAAATTTATCACCACATTCCCGTATTTTTAGCAACATGAGGAAATATTCTATAGATTTTCACCAGTTGTCATTCTCTGACAAAGGACAGATGTCAAAGAGTTTTGTCGAATTATTAGAACAGAATGTATGTACTTTTATATGGTGTATTTTTTACTCGTAATCATGGAGGTTAGAGAGAAGGAGAACGATCGCTACGTGCTAAAGCATTAGCCCGCCTGTCCCGGAAAACTTGTAGAATTTATAGTTCATTTTTCAGCCACCAGCCGCGTTGCCGTCGGTAAGTAGTTTCTGTGAAGTTAGCTGTTTATGAGTACAAGTAGATGAAGTTGAATAATGTACAAATTTTCTTCGCGGCATTGGTGAGAAAATAATCGAGCTCCGTAATTTTTTAATTTTTGACAAAAAGAAACATTAAAAACATAATTTATAATTTATTTATTAATAAATAAAAATAATAATAATTAATATTTTATTCGTTATTTTTTTTTCTTTGAATTATACACACGTATATTAAACATTGATACATCATTTCAAATCAGCGCACAACAGCCAGCTTTTATTGAGACAACTTAGCGATCGCAGCGCCTCAATTATTTTGTCCTTATTTCTGGGACACTATTTCTATAGCGATCTTTCTCCTTCTCTCTAACCTCCATGCTCGTAATATTATATGACAGCTAGCTATTTAGTCCCAGTAATTGTAACACCTTTCAGTTTTGGTATTTTTGTTTTTAAGTTTTTACATGAATAGTTTTGGTTTCTTTTTGTTGAGGAGTTTGAAAATCTAACCGGCTTCGAATTTAGATAGTTTCTGATCCACTGTAGAGTGTAGATAATGTATTAATAGATAACCTTCTGGATATTAATATGAAGAAAAATCTTTGTAAGGAGTAAAAAGTTAAAATGTAGTGACGGATTAAGAATACGGAATGTCACTACCCCAATTCATCCCGTGGGTGTCGTAAGAGCCGACTAAGGACGCAAAACAATGCAGGACACCAGCACTGCAAAAAGAAGGAAAACTTGACACAAACCCTATAAGAACCCGTCTGGCCAGCGTGGTGTAGTAGGCCAAAACCTCCTTTCTAAGGAGAGGCCTATGCCCAGCAGTGGACCATTATAGGCTGTTGATGATGATGATGATGATGATGATCGGCGACGTATAGTGAAGTTAAGCATCAGGCTTGGTCGAGATGGAGACTTGCTGTAGTCACCCTCTACCCCATCCAGAGGACATAAAGGATATTAAAGAAGAAAGAAGAAGTTAAAGTGCAGCAATGCATGTTTATTTTTTAAACGACATCATGAAGTCATATAGGGGTCCAGAATATATTCCTTTGATCTGTCTTGGTATAAAAAACTATTATGGAGGGTAGAGGTAAGGAGATCCAAGTCTGTGCATGAAAAGTGTCCGTAAAAACGCATCCAATAAGGGTGGCGCTGATATACTGATATACGCTCCTGCGCGCGCTCCTGATATACTATGATTAATATATATTGGCTTAAATAATAATTAGACACTGTTTACTAGACTGCGAAAATAGCCAATGAGTCTTACATACAATAAATAAACGTGTAATAACATGCAGACAATAAAAGTTTTAAAATGTTTGAACTCAGCACACTTCACTCCGTCTACAACAGCTATGTTCATATCGTAGTTTTTCGTACGCTAGCGACCTCTATTTTCAGTTTACAGCTGAACACTGTTTCAACTTTCTCAGATATGAGATGGTTCTCCTTGCCTCTACACTCCATAAACTATATACAATGACTGTGAGAGTACCTTCATGTGCTCGTAGACTTACCTACTTCGATTCAGAACTTGTGTTACGAAATAGTTCGGCCAATTTCTATTAGATGGCGCTGTATGCTGTAACAGATTATATTTCGCTTCCAGTTGATTAATATTATTAATTTTAACCCGTCTAATAATGCTCAAATCCTTTGTAGAACTAGTGGAATTGCATTTTGGAAAATATATTTTATACTGCTGATATTGGTTAATGCGGATCTTTATTTGGATGAAAGATCAGTAGGCTGTCTCTGCCGAAATTTTATTTAGACATCTCACACTCGGCCGTCTGACTTGTAGTTATTGTAGTATGATAACCAGACTGCTGATAACACAGGCCAACAAAATTTGACAAAGTTTTTTTACCCAGAAAAAAGAGAATACTTTCCCGAAGGATTTCGGTGCGCTGAATCCAAATTTGCCCACAGAATTGCTCTATCATGTCAGGTTTTTGAGATATTCTAATCTAAAATTGCAAAAACGCAATTTTTGACCATTTTTGAGGTTATGAGACCCTTTAAATTTTATTATGCCTAAAAAGGTACACAGATTATCTTAAAGTTGAGGCTTTAGCTTTCAAATACCATTTTTTTTCGCTGAGATAGTAGTGAACAGGGTTTGTTTAGCTTAAAGGCTTGTAGTTCAGTTAAAGGTTTGCTTAGCTGAACGGGTGTGCAGTATTTGATTGGTTTTGGGACGAAAAAAAAGGTATTTAAGCAATTTCAACGTCCTTTGAAAGCGGAAGACTTGAACTTTAAGATACCCTGTGCACTTTTTTAGGCGTAATAAACATTAAAGAGTTACATAACCTCAAAAATGGGCAAAAATAGCAGTTTTTGCACTTGTAGGTTAGAATATCTTTAAAACCTGACGTGATAGGGCAATTCTGCGGCCGCATTTGGGTAGCACCAAGATCCTACTAAAAAGTATACTCTAATTTCTGGGTAAACATTTTGTTGGCCTGTGTAGTCATACTTTTAGGTCTACTTTAAAAATTGATATTATTGGGATTTGGATTTAGGATAATTATAATTTTATAAATAAAATAGCATTGTTTGAGATAAACTTATTGTTTATTCTGTGAATAATAACAGATATCTATGGCATAGTCACTGGTAACATTAAGTCGAAATGAAATAATGCAAATTAATTTTAACTTAGCCTCTAGCTTTCACTATTGTTACACTACAAAAATAATAGCTTGATCATTGCGGAGGCTAGAATTAGTTAAGCTAAAGCTAGAAAAGCTAGCTTAACATCAAATTTTCGCCTAGAAATGTTTTATACAGTGTAACAATATTTTAACAATACATAGCTGTATGGACAATATTTTCTGATAATAAGCTTAAATATGGATAATATAGCAGTAACAAATTTCGTTTACATTTCAATATTTTTCAGGTTGATACTTCTTGATTTCTGTTATTTCAAGTAAGCTTAACTTAAGCTATTAATTACGGGGCTGAGCTTTAAAAAAGGTCGTTTTAATACATAAATTTATAATAATGCAAATAATGATAATAGGCCATTTAATGATAGGATAATTATTATAGATACATATTAAAAAACTATAACATTATTATGAATAGTGATATAACATAGAAGTATTTGTGACATCTTAAAATTAAGATCCATTTAAGACCTATTCGAAGATAATTTTATCATTACCTACAATTACTTCAATCATTAATTTAATTAATATTAAATTATCCATTAAAATGAGTGAAGTAAAATTTAGACGCAAAATATTATGTAGCCACTTTCAAATCATTGATTAATTAATTCTTTAACATGGTTAATTCAATATTTTATTTATGAAAATGATTTTAAGTAGCTAAATAAAGTTTCACAGATGCCAATCTACAGCTATGTCTCAACTACACAATGATTAGGACGGCTTTAGACCAATGACATTTAATGATTTACAACATTAATTTTAGTAAAGATTGTGCAAAAATATCTATTTTGTTGATATATTACAATGAGGTATGTAAAATGGATGTTTTCTTGATTTGATATTTTTTTTGTTAATTTTTTAAGTCGTAATGATGACCTATTTCAATTATTGTTGTTAATGCCTTACAGATTTTTATAAGCCCTACCCTTCACAACCTACAAAAATGAGATTACTTTGAAAATAAAGAATTGCCAAAATCCCGGCTTCATATATGGAATGATGTATTTTTAAATACAAAATTTGAAAATGCCAAACTTTTGATAATCATAAATTTCAATATTTAGTAAAGTTACCGGGATAAATATATATAAAAAAGTAACTAAATTCTAAACTTATAAAGTTAATTTTAACTTATAATTATCAAATCATTATTAAATGTAACATTATTTTTTTGCACGTTACGAAAAATAAAAATATTTGCAATTAATTCGTCTTTAAAATAAAATTCAATTGCACCAAAGTTTGACAAAAAAAACAGCTAAATTTTGCAATTTTTATTTTAATAAAAAAATATAAAATTGGTTAACTTTGGTGCAACGCAACTAGTGCTATTTCGAAAAGCCGAGTTGTCGCTAATTAACTTATAATTAAATATTGTAAGAACTCCTGCGATAGCATACAACTGAAATAATTAAATTAACATTAATTAAACAATAGATGTTAATATTTTCATTGCTTAGCACCATAAATAATTCAGCTATTAGCAATGCCATTATAATCATAACAGTTTTTATTTAAAGATTTATTTTTATTCATTTTGTATTTTGTGTGTTCAAATAAACGATTATTTAATTAAATAATTACAACAGCATGTCTAATAGACAATTTTAAGCAAGAATTTTATATGAAATGTGGGTTTCATTCGAAACTAACAAAAAATAGTTATTATAATGTTAGTAAAAAAATTCTAACGGTTTACACATTCGTCATTTTGGTGCGTTACATTATTTTTTAACTACAGTTTACAATGTAATCCATTATTAAATTACTAGAATATCATTGTAATATTTTGTGTCAAAGCCGGAAAGAGCCAGTCTGTTTGCAAAAATTCAATTGTGCAAGTTGTAACATACAACTTTAAGTAAATCAATTAGTTCAAGAAAATTGCAAACAACTAACCATTGTCACAGTACATGTAAACTTTATATTTCAATGCTAACACCACGATATGATTACGACACTTCGGTCAAATTACGTTCCTATATCACACACAGCGCCATCTAGGCTGCAATCCAACACTAAACCACCAATTAACTTTGAAATGTCCTCGCGTGCTAATCACTAAAATTGATAGTTCAATTATCGCTAGCGTCCAGGCTACCTTGAGACTCCTGTCATTGGAATTGTGATGTGGATGTCGATCTCCTGCAACCAATAGCTACGGGCGCAGGTATTCTGGACGCGCCATTCCTTTGGTCTTTTCTAGGAGTAGCCAATTGTCTAGTGCTAGTAGATCTTTCTAATTTACCATCAGACATTACCCAAGCTGATGTAAAATCGGCATAGTCTGAGTCTTTGGAACTAGTTCTAGATAAAGAATCGTCTCCTTTTGAATAGGTCCTAATAATTTCTTTCATTTTCTCCAAAACTGCCATGTCATCTTTGGCAGTTTCTGCTGATCTAAGTATTTGTTCTAGTAGAGGACTTAAACATTTGTTATTCGGTGGAGACCTCAGAGTGGCACTGCTGGCTCTGAGGGGAGAATTCCTCTTAAAAGCCTCAGGTTGTGGGGCTTTCGGTTTCATTTTTGGAGATTTGTTGGGATTTTCAAAAGTATCAGCTCCTATCGTAGGCCTGGCTTTTGTTTTTGCCTGGTTGGGAGCAGATCTTCCTCCCCAAGTATTTCTAGTTGTAGGTGGGAGTTTTGGAGTCGGCTTTGGTGAGGTCTGTATGGAATTTGTAGTGTGCTTTGGACTAGGAGTATTAGCTCGAGTCGGAGTTCGATTTCGCACCGGGGAGTGAGGGATCCGACTCGCTTGACGGCTCCTAATTGTCTTTGTGGGTGACGCTGAAGGTTCCCGCGTTGGTCTGAGGCTTTTACTTGGGGAGTCGTTGCTTTCGTTGACGACTACGCGGTCAGGACTGCTCCTAACTGATTTCTCATCGATGGAGCTAGTTTTGCGGCCACCGTAGAAAGTTTCAGAGAAGTCGGTCTTACGTAGACCTGTGTTCAGGCTCACGTGTTCATCAACTCGTTCTGGCCTATCCATGTGACAACCGTCGTCGTGGTCGAGACGCTCTGAAAGTAAAAGAAAATATGTTATTTTATTTTCGATATAACATAAGACTTTTTGGATTTAGACAAGTAGAATCTATTATGATGTATATGTATGGGTAGGAAGGCAAACGCAAACAGTCGTGCAGCCGTAGGTTCTTGAAATCAGTTTGTGATCAGTGCCAACAAAACCTGATTGAAAGTTCAAGCACTTCAAAGTCTTTTACCCATTATGTGAACGCATTAAATCCCGAACGGAAACTTAAAAACTAGAGTCTGATTTGTTCTGAACACTGTACACTGAGACATTATTATTACTATTTAATTATAAATATAAAACTAAGTCTCAATTTGGGACTCAGGTAATACACATCAATATTTTTGTTTGATACCCAATAAATAAGGATCCAATAATATATAATTAGAACTCTTTCATATTAATAAAGTCAGTACAAAAACTGATTCTAATTCACAATTACCATGCTTGGTAAATAATAACAGTTAACGAACTTAATAATTGTGACCATAAACAGTGTTACCATACATGGGCATAGACTAAGCAAGCCTGACTCACTTCCCTTTTCCGCAAGACTATGGTCAATTATTTTATTTATGTAGTATTTTAAGAGGTAAACATTTATCCGGCTTTAAGGAATGCTAGTTTTGTGATAGTAGGGTTTATCATGGCTCGTCAGTACAGTAAATAGAATGAAATTATCAAGGTAATTAATTATTTGATTAGGTGTATCGTTTTGTACACAATAAATAAGTAGATACAGAACCGATTCAAGAAATTCTTTCACCAATGGAAATCTACATTATCAGCGAGTAATATAGGCTTTTTACCGCGATAGCCAACATACACGCGGGCGGAACCGCGGGTTATTTATAATTTTGTAGCTTTCATTCGAATACCACATTCTAATACCATTGGTATTTCATTGTTTTCACACAAAGTGTGGTCCCATGTGGGGATCGCATCCACCACTCTCAGCGCAGTTTGAAGGGGCGAGATGACCGCTGAAACCACTACACCATACGTGCAGTCGTATAGTTACAGATGTTCAAAGGGAACTCCGCTCATTTGCGCTCTTTACATATTTTTTTTATCTAAGATTACTATAACGCTTTAACAAAACAAACATTTGTAGGTTAGCTTGTTATCAAGACCTTTATAAAATAATAGTTGTTGAGGGTCCATATGTTTAGTGCCCACATCCATGTTTAAAGTATGCTGTTATACCTTGTACAGTCTGTCGACCAGAGCGGAATGTCGCTCTGTCAGTCAGCGGGGTGAACAGGGACCTGAGTTAATATGTAGGCTGGACAAGGACTTATCTTCTATATAGACTTGCAACGAATATTCGGTTACTTTTCGGTATTCGGCCTATTCGGCTGCTTTTATTATATTCGGCCGAATACCGAATATCTACATATTATTCGGCCGAATACCGAATACTTAAATAATATATTTTGTCATTGAGAAATAATTGGTAAAATGAAAAATTAAAATCGATTGATTACGTATATATTCATATTTTCATTTCTGTTATAATCATTTAAGTAGTCATTGGTGCATAACACAGGTACATAATCATCTTCTGAATTGAAAAAATGGAGGATTCTATGTATTTGAATTATTGTGGTAATCAAAATTTAGAAGGGTAAGGTTCTCATTTCTTTTATAATCATTTATTAAGTAGTCATTGTTACATAAAACAGGTACATAATTTAATTCACGTCTGTACAAGTTTTTGGCGCTAAAATCCAGCCGAATACTTTTGCCTAATATTCGGCTATTCGGTCAGGGGCCTCGCCAAATATTCGGTATTCGGTATACTGCCGAATATACTATTCGTTGCAAGTCTACTTCTATACTCTATACAATCTATACAAATAAATAAAATTGGAGTGTCTGTTTGTAATATTAAAATAACCGCTTTTTACTAAATGCATACATTGCATGGGTGATTACTTCGAATAACAGAAATAAAAAAGTTTGAAAAAATAAGTACTTTCACTTATTGCATACAAAACGGCAATTTCATAGGTAAAGACCTAATATATAAAAATCTAGTGTCACATTGTTTGTTATCAAACACCTCAAAACGGCTTGACCGATTTTCATGTTTTTTTTGTGTATATTTGCTAGGTCTGAGAATAGATCATAAGGTAATTTTTATACCCCCAATTAGGGGTACTTGGGTGCCTTTCCCTAGATGTTTTTATTGTAAATATGTCAGTTAAGTTAATAAAGTACATTGAATAAAAAAAATATGAATGGTTTGTGTTTTTTTATTTTTAGAGGGCGTGAAACACACATGCAAACGCACAGCAATACATGTACCAACTTTTGATGATTGACACCGCGCGGATTTTAATCCTGGTGTCCTGAAATACAAGGACCTAGTTTGGGCTCCAATCCACATCAAACTACAACTTTTAATTTCTATAAATCATTATACATTATTTGTGGTGGAAATAAACATATGTATGTCGCGATCAAACGCACAACATAGCGCAGTGGAAATCGGCGAGGTGACCGCTTAAACCACTACGCCACTCGTGCAGTCGCCGAAGCTCTCAAGGGGATCAAAATTATAACTATTGATATAATTTACATAGCATTGTGGAACTAGATAATGTTTATACATTCCAATGGTTGCCGTCATACTTACATAAGGAGATGTACCGAGTACCACGGTCCCACTTATCAACTGTTTATAGTATCAGTTACACAAACGACTGACATGTATTAAAACATCTATACATCTTCTAGTAGTAGTAGTTCTAGTCCGTGTGGTGACGGATTAAGAATACAAATTGTCACCACCCCAATTCATCCCGTGGGTGTCGTAAGAGCAGACTAAGGGAGCAAACTAAGCAGGACAACAGCACTGCAGAGAGAAGGAAAACTTGAAACAAACCCTATACCAACTCGTCTGGCCAGCGTGGTTTAGTAGGCCAAAACCTCCTTACTAAGGAGAGGCCTATGTCCAGCAGTGGACTAGTATAGGCTGTTGATGATGATACATCTTCTATCTGTTTGTAATGTCAAAATAATAGTGTTGACATGACTAAAAGCAGTTTAAATATTTTTTGTCTGTCTGTCTGTTTGTTCTGGTTACTTACCAGAACAAACAGACAGACAGACAAAAAGTTGCACCGACTTTGATATAATATTCCTACCAGGTATCTGTCTATATAAGGAGTAACTTAGGCTTTTTTTCTCAGAAAAACCCTAAAAAATTTTCGATTTCGAATCCGGGAATCGAAACCGAGTCCTCACGAATTGCAGTCGCGTAAATAAAGGTAAAAACCGTTTACCGTGGGAGAGCCATGCTTCGGCATACGAATGGGCCGGCTCGACCGGAGTGATACCACGGCCTGACAGAAAACCGGTGTTAAGCCATTCTTACGTTGCCTTTCACTGAGTGAGTGTGGTTACCGGTTACCCCCTCCCGCTGACTCGAGCGGGAGGGACTCCAAGGACAGCAACGCAATTGTGACTTTTGAGTTGCAGGTGTCCATGGGTGGCGGTCGTTGCTTACCATCAGGTGACCGTCTGCTCGAATCGAGAACTTCTTTGATGGGTGTCCGATTGTCACAATTTTTACTTGGGAATAGGTTTATATATCGATTTGTCGTCGTCATTCACTTCTTAAACCTAATAAACTAAACTAAACTAATAGTACTAAAAATAATACTAAACTAATAAACTAGCTAAAAATTACTAATACCTAATATTTATACAAGTAAAATTTTTGATGTTTTTCTGTTGATAAATCCAATACCATAAAATATTATTTTAAACATATCTTACTCCAAGTATTCAAACAATGAAACTATTCATGAGGTGGGGACACCGCAATTTTACGGTGTACTCTATTGTGAACGCTTGCGAAAACAGTTCAGTTTAAGCGTAAATCATAAGCGCTCGCGATCGCCTAACGCTTATAGTGTAGTTAATTATTAGTAGTATAGTAGTAGTTAATTATTCAAATGATGATTATTAATTTTGCGTGGACGTCGTCAGGTATATAAAAAAGCATATGTTAGGTTTATCTTAAAAAATAATATATAATATAATATCTCACCCACCCCACGAACCCAAGACCTCCGGCTTAGCAGTCGGGTTCACTAACCACTAGACCAACGGACCCGTCATAAAAGTTTGTTATGATTTAGTTTGAGTTCTTTTTTTTATGGTATGACGAACAAGCAGACGGTTTACCTGATGGTATGGACAACTGCAACTCAAGAGTCACAATAAGTGCGTTGTCACTCTTTGAGCCCCACCATTTACAATCGGTAGAAGGGGGAAGGGGGGGTTTATTGTCCGGTGACCATATTCACTCAGTGAAAAGCAACGAAAGAACTGCTTAACGCCGGTTTTCTGTAAGGCCGTTTTAAGCTGGTTGAGCTGGCCTATTTGTGCCTGGCTCTCCCACGGTTTCATCTATTTACATTCTAATCAAATACAATTCTGGGATAGAACGGGTAGGTGTTAGGTTAGGTATAGATAAAGTATATATTAATCTAGCCTCATACTGCCATTTGTGTACTAAACCTCAGTTTGGACATTACTTATCTGGCGATTTAATTAACATTGTAATGTTCTTCAGGAAACTGGTTCTTTTAAACTGGTAAATATTGGAATGATGTTCCTTAGCGCACGTTCGCACGCTCTGAGTGGACAGAAGCGAGACCGAAAAATGTGTAACAAGTCTTTTTTCCGACACTTCTCGTTCGCGTTCTCTCGTTCTCTCGCGTTCTCGTCGCAGAACATCGTTCCATCTGGGGGTCCATAGACCCCTCACACCACTGCGCCTGTTTTTAGGTTAAGGATAAGGTATATTGTGAGATTTATAGCTAATAACCTGTCTTAATATATAATGATGTCATTTTGACATAACATGACATGACATAACATCCGAAGTCAATTGGAATTTCGGATCAGAAAATCGCCTGTCACTCGTACCAAGCGCCGATTGCAAAAAACCTAGTCGTACAATTTGTAAGTGTGTCTAAAACAATGTTTCAATAACGCAAATTAACATTATCATTGAAATGTACTGAACACGCTTTCAGTCAAATGTATATTTTGGAAACAGGCGTAGATATGTAATGGCTAGAGCGGGATAGAGGTATGTGCGAGCGAGATGCAATATACTTTTGCATGCGGCACCACCCGCGTGTATTTCATCTGAATAACTGAATCAAACAACCTTCATACCAAATTTCATTTGACTCGGTTCAGGGGTTATATGATTCCTTACCCTAACTTCCACCCCTATTTTCACATCCTTAAAGAATGATTTCTGGGATATTATTATCCTATATCCTTTCCTGGGACTCAAATTATCTCTATATCAAATTTCATGTAAATCGGTTCAGCAGTTTAAGCATAAAGCGGTAACATACGGACAGACAGATACACTTTCGAATTTATAATATGAGTATGGGTACAAAATGTTTGGAAAAGGCGTGTTTATTCTTTTTAATTCTTAGTTTTTCCGTTACATTACCTATACTTCTGAAGAACTGCAAAACACTTCATGAGGAATTAAACTAGAATATTACATCTAAACATCGACAACCGAACACTAGGATGGCAAAATATGAGTATATAAAAAGGACATCAACAACATCTATCAACAGCCTATAACAGTCCACTGCTGGACACAGGCCTTGCCTTAGAAAGGAGGTTATGGCCTACTATAACACGCTGGCCAGACGGGTTGGTATAGGGTTTGTTTCAAGTTTTCCTTCCCTCTGCAGTGCTGTTGTCCTGCGTAGTTTGCTCCCTTAGTCGGCTCTTACGACACCCACGGGATGAATAGTGGTGGTGACACTCTGTATTCTTAATCCGTCACCACACGGACGGACGTTTAATCTAAATATAATGACGTATATACGAATATTTTTAATGTGTTAAGTTTGTAACCTTCACAGTTTCCTTACAAGTAGTAACCAAACAGTATTCATATTTGCGCAAATGTTGAAACTGGCGGACGGTGAGCGGAAATTATTGCAACCATCAAACATGTGTGTGTGCAAAACAAACACAAAACGTACATTCTGTGTTCGGAGACCCAAGTTTAAGTTTTTTTTACATTGATGACACGTGAAATTGTGTTGTGTACTTTGGTAGAACAACATCGGTTTGACTACTTACATATGTTGAAACGAAACAAATATTGAGATATTTTTTAATAATAATTGTATTAATGTGTTTATCTGTGTTTTATTCCCGTGGTTATTCTTAATGTTAACCTTTACTTGACGGTATTTTTATGGTATATACATGTTTTTGTTTTACTAATGTACAAAAATTAATCGCATACATTTCACAGAGTAAAAGTACAGTATTTCAAGATACAATTTCATTATTTTTGTGATAGACAACATGTATTTTATCAATTTGAAAATAACAACAATTATGAAAACATGTTTCGGGATGAATAGGGGTGATGACATTCCGTATTCTTAATCCGTCACCACACGGACATATAACTATGTAGGTTTCTTTAACTGTTCGTCCAAACTTGATCTCAATCTAATATGCAATATAAGAAGTAAGAATATTATGAAAGAAGCGATAAACTTACCAATTAATTCTGCATCTTCAATAGAGTTCTGGCTGTGCATCGAGTATCTATTAGTCGTTTTTGTGGATGGAGATCCCTGAGTGGATCCAGCCACCACTCCCAGACTCCTGTATCCCTCGTCCGAGACCTCAGACCCATTATCGGAGGCGCTCTCAGCGGCTGGTGCGGGCGAGACCGGTCTAGGAGACTTGTTTCTTATCCCATGGGGCGTCGGTACCAAATGAGTTGAAGCCACAATTTTGGTTCTCCTTTCAGGAGAAGAAGATTTTCGTTTTGGGCTGTTAGCCCTCGGTGCCAAGTGCTTCCTACTAGGTGAGGCTGCTCTGTCCATGTCTCCTAGGTAAGGTAGACTGGTAGGAGCTTCAAGTCTGTGATTTGATTGGTAGTGTCCAGACCTTGGCTCTTCGTGGTAGACCTTAGAATTGTATTGTAGTGACATGGGTTCATAGGACTTTGAATCTGGCTTGTATGGGAGTGAGGTTGGACCTGATGGTTCTGGGGTGCGTTCGTAAGTGACGGTGGCGCCGGCTAAGTCGTGTTTAGGGCGGGCTAGGCGAGCTGAGAGGGAGGAGCGGTGCTGGGCTCGGCAACGGCATGGATCGTGTTTATCCAGGTAGTGGGCTAGAGTATCCCAGCCACCACCGACGCGTACCATGACGTGGGAACGGAGGATCTGAAAGAAAAAAATAATATTAAATAATTTATTTTTAGGGCTTTAAAAACGAAATTTGAAAAAATGGTTATATTTTCTAAAGGTCACCTGCAAAAATATTAGCTATAAGACCGACGTGTTTTTATTTATAGGAATTGCTGTAAAAATTTATAAAGCTTATCTGTTTAATTTTCTAAATATTTATAATATCCCTCTAATTCTTATGTAAAACTTACATTGCGAGATCCAGGACCTAAAGTTATGAAATTGTTGGAAACACCATTAGGCAAATTGATAAACTGCATTACAAATCGAAAATAATCGCTTAAATGACTGTGGCTGGTCACTGTTATACTCTTAATTAATACCTTAATATGTATACCCATGTTCGCAAAATAAATTATTTTATTTGATTTGATTAAACATGTGGCAATATACAACAATATATGAGAATGACCATATTATGTGCAAGTGAACTGGTGATATATCGATTCAAAACCACACAATACCAATTATTCCTAACCTCATAAAAGCACATATATCTGATCTAACAATAAATATAGATTTCCAACAGTACGTTACAATGTATGCAGAATAGCAAGAACATAAGTCACAAATGAGGACCAATTTATAATGGCCCTTGAGCGAAATTTGTACTGGCCAATGTATTCTGAACCACGAAATAGTCGTTTATTATAAATTCCAAATAAAGATCCGCTGATATCGTGAGAATGCCTATCAATACTGGTGACCTCGATGCACCTTCGCTTAGCCTTGCATCCCTTAATATGGCCAAAGAGTCATGTCAACATAATCAAAGCCCCCCTTTCAAACGCTTACTCCTAATTGGAGTTCTTCCTAAATTTGGAGCTGGGAACACCAGTTTTAGATGACTCGCTTACAAAAGAAATTGTTAGAAGTAAAAGGTCAATGTTTACTGGGCAATATAAGGTCGAAAGTCGTGTAGTACGCGACGTTCGTTTAGTTTGACCAAACAAGGAATCGTGGTGAGTGATTCATAGATACGTCGTTAAAGGAAATGGAACGCTATTAACGCTCTAATAAAGGTCAAGTCGGTTTTTATTTTTTGTTAAATCGTAGTGGATCTATTTTTAGTACCAATTCAGGGTTGGCTGTATATTTAATTATCAGTTTTAACATTTTTTTATGGTGAAGGGGGCAAAACGAACAAGACAGTTCACCAGATGGTAAGGGACTTCCACCGCCCATTGACATAGCAATTTAAAAGACACAAGTACAACGCAGGACAATAGTTCTGCAAAGAGAAAGAAAACTTGAAACAAACCATATACCAAACCGACTGGCCAGCGTGGTATAGTAGGCCAAAACCTCCCATGGACTATTAAAGGCTGTTGATTTAGTGTATCCCACTTCTTCTGATTCTGGATTTGGAATTCCTTCTGGGTTTGGCCTACAGTAACCTCACTCATTCAGTAAGAAGCAACGAAATACTTGTCACCAGTTTTCTGCAGGCCGTGAGCTGACCTATATGAGCCGAAGAACAGCTCTTTGACGGTTAAAAACAAGAAGTGCCATCATGATACAGAGTGACATTGCGTTTATCGAGTATAACTATAAAGTTATTTCTCAAGTTTAACCTTTGGTCACTTTCTCAATGGTGAACACACTTTATAAACACTTGACAATACTTAACACTGTATTGTTTAAATACATAACACTTGTGAAACCGAATATTGCGGCGACTGGTCCTTGAATGTTAATTATGTTTATATACATGTACAAAAGATACATTAAATAATATCTATCAATAATAATAATCCGTGTGGTGACGGATTAAGAATATGGAGTGTCACCACTGCTATTCATCCGGTGGGTATCGTAAGAGCTGACTAAGGAAGCAATTTATGCAGTACCGTTTCAATTTTCCCGAAAAATTGAAACATACCCTATACCCGTTTGGCTAGCGTGGTATAGTAGGCCAAAATCTCCGTTCTAAGGTTGGGCTTATGTCCAGCTGTGGACTGCTAAAGGTTATTGATGAATAATAATATTCAAAGGGTCTATCAAAATGACCAAATAATGATCAAAAAATAGTAACCTCTCTTTATCTCGATGATTAATAACTCCTGTAGAAGTAACTGCTATATATTATGACAAATGAACGTCTAGACAGGAACTCCCCAATATGGAAACAACAGGAAAAATAAATTGTCTGTATTGTAGTCTATTATTTCACTTTTATAGCCAAGAATTATATTTAAGAGAAATTGAATAAATAAAGAAGTGTAAGAAAAGATAACTGCTGAACAAACACTAAAATAATAAATTAATTTGAAATTAAAACTGACTACACTGACGGTTTGACAGCTACAGATACTGCAAAACTTAACATTATTCTGAAGAATATTGAAGAGCAGAAATAAAGTGTAATACTACATCAATAGAACTTAAAATCCTCTGTTTATTATCTACTAATCTTATAATGCCCATTCTTTTTGTCTTAATTTGTTCTAAACTTTTGAGTTTGAGTTTGCTTGTTCATTGTTCGGTGGGAATGACGACTTTCGAACTTGTTTCGGGGCAATAACTGTGGTCAGATAGAATTTGGAATAAGTTCCAACACTTCAAAACTCAGACAAATCTGAAGGACAAGAAATGTGTGAGAAACTAACATTTCTTTTTATTATGAAAAATATATACAAAGAAGATCAGTTGATGTTCCAATCCCGGCTTCTTCGTGCTATTTCAGTCTCAGTTCCGTTTTCTTCTTCTTCTGCCTTTATCCTATCTAAAAACGAAAACGTCAACAAGAAGGGCTGAAAGCAATCACCCAAAAACTTCTTCAATAATACACATTGTGCATATGCCAAATAAAATTGGAAGAAGGAGAAAAAATGATAATGAAATTTACAGTTCCAGGACCTTAACTAAGCTCAAAGATTCTGCATACTTTGTATGAGTAAGTAATGTCATTCATAAACTGGAATCTCCAATAATAAATTCTGGAATGTCCTTTGCGGTAACTACGTATATATTTACGACGTTAAACGTTCAGCATCACACCTTATGTGTCTCTTTAACACGTCATTTTGATCTAAATATTATAATTTGTTATTGACACTTTATTGAAAATATTATTAAAATAAATCATTGGGTGCGGTCAATTATTGTGATTGGTTGTGTATATGGATAATTTTCTGCCTTGTGTAATAATATAGCTGCGTTTATGTAATAGCAATTGTGCCTATTTATGGTAGTTGATTAATAGGTTATACAAAGACTTTATGGCTCAGAGTTTAACAAAGAAACCTCTCGTACCTAGCCTACCTACTGGTATTATCTAACTACTACTAGAAGATTCAAGAAAGGCAATAAAGTCTTATGTAATCATCATCATCATCAACAGACTTTGATAGTCCACTGCTGGACATAGGCCTCTGCTATGAAAGGTAGTTTTGGCCTACTATATCACGATGGCCAGACGGCTTGGTATAGGGTTTGTTTCAAGTTTTCCTTCTCTTTGCAGTGCTGTTGTTCTGCATAGGTTGCTGCCTTATTTGGTTCTTGCTATACCTTTAGAATGAATGGTGGTGGTGATTCCACAAAATAAAACAAAACTTACCCTGACGAAGATCAGCATCCTGGTATCACCAATCCTGTATTTTCCTTCCGAAACCCTCACCATAGGGAATTGTGTTGGACAGGAACACCTCTCAACTAAATCCCTGACTCTCTCGTCTAAACTTCTCAAATCATTCGTCACCAATTGGGGCTGCGGTCCACAAGGCACTAAGCCTAGGGCCGAATCATCAGGTCTTAGTTCTTCACCCGCTAATTCTCTTTCAATCTGCCTTTCCATCTGAACCAACAAGGGTGCTGGCATGCCTAACACGGCACCTCTTCTAGCAACCTCCAATAGACATAGGACGACATGCTTCTCATTCTTTCTCAGACACAAGTCGTCTGTTTCGAAGAGAAGGCATTCTAAGACTCCAAGAGCTTTCCTACACCAGTCAATGAAGTTGGAGAGATTATCTCTTGCAAAGAAGGTGCCAGCTTTGGCGGCTGGCAACATGTTGACAGGTGGTCGGGATCGGAGGGCTTTAGCCAGGTTGAGGGCATCTTCGGATTCCGGTTGCGGAGAATCAAGGATGTGACGTGCTGAGTCACGGACTGCGTTCGCATGCTGTAACAAAAAGAAAGAAAAAAATTAGTTGAAATATTTATAGGAGATCCATTAATAAGAGGGAAGTATTTTTATGTGACTAAAGGCCATGGACATCTGCAACTCAAGAGACACAGTCCCTTTGTGTCTCCGCCCTTAGAATTAGAGAAAGGCGAGGTAGATTTTGACTAGCCTTGGTAGACTAGCGTCACTACGCCGCCCGTAGACACAAGCTACTTACGAGACACACAATATAGTAGACTCAGAATCTTTGGGATGGGGGGGAGGGGAGGTTTGGTCTCTGTTACCCTTACTGAACGTTAACGAGCAGCAAAGCAACGAATGAATTGCTGAACACCGCTCTTCTGTGCGGCTGTGGTGTCATTCAGGTCTCCAGCCTGGCTCAACAGTAACAAATGCAACGCAAAAGGAATTAGTTCAGAATGACAATAAACGAACCACTGCTCGTAACAGATCAAGTTTATCGAAGCAATGAGGATGTAGAAATTAGAAGTGATCATAACGTAAAAAGGTCGAAGTGATTCATACGCAAGATTGGGAAGTCTGCACGTTTAAGTGTGTCAATTTGCAATGCAGAAATTTTGATACGTCCACTTTCGTACTTCTGTAATGCACATAGAATATTAATGCAGGGTAGTGCATTCCAATAACGATGACCGAAATATTTTTAGTGAGTCTGTTGGAAATATTGAAGTATTTTGCTATCGGGGGATATATTTTATTGCGACGCTTACTGTGTCAGAAAATCACCAATGTAATTCCTTTCCTTTTTTTGTTTAACATGCTCTGTATAGCATTAGCTTCACTTTTTACTATGTAAACAAATCATGAAATTCAATTTTAATCTCGACTGACTAAGTTAACTCTTTTCGGTAATTTTAGCACGCTTTTTTATGGAAGCAGGCGGTACACACTTTACCTAGAGCCGCCTAAGGACACACACAATTTAACAGACACAAGCCGCCGTTTGACTCCTTTCCCTTAGAATCAGGAAGAGGTAGCGAAGGTTTGAGCTCCGGTAACGTGACTCACTCTGCGAAAAGCAAGGAGGAAAAGAAATTAACACCGGTATTATCATTCCGGTCGAGCCTTACCGTTTGTGCCAAAGCATGAATCTCCCACGGCACATGTTTTATTATATTATAATGCTACAAAAATCAAATTTCAAGTCTTCAGGAAGATATAATTATATGTGCACATAGCTTTATTTAATACTTCGAGTGGCGACCATTTGCAAATATAATAATTATTCATAAATGTCTCACATGTCGAAATAGCTTTACACATTTATATTTACTGGTAAGCACTCGTGAATGTACTTACTGAGTTAATAATCATTGAATGCACTTACTGCATAGATGTGTTAGTTTTAGGATTGGAATTATATAAACAGTTTATATTTCTAGTGAAGAATATCTCGCTATAATTGAAGTGTAGTATAGAGTCTTTTCTCGATTTCATGCAATCTAACGTCAACGACTTCCAGAGAAAAAAAAGTCGTGTGGTGTCGTGGGATACCCGATAGGAACGAAGTTGTGACGATCGAGTAAAACTGATTTGACACGATTTTAATTACAACGCCATCTATGAAAGCGGCTATTTCCTACATATTTTTCAGTTGGTTTCTAATTAAAACAATTTATACATTGGTAAAATCTCCTTGAGAAATGATTTCCTATCTATTCGATAGATAGCGCTGATTGACTGACAAGTGACAATTCAAAATAAATACTGAGATGAAAAGTAATGATTTCCTATCTATTCGCTAGATGGCGCCGAATGACTGACATAAAAAGTGTCGTTACAACTTTTCGTGGGATTTTTTTCCCGTTTAGCCCCCTTTCACAACGCGCGATAAGGAACTTCGTTCCAAACTCGAATAAAGTTGACTTACTGAGTGATGGCAGATTAGCAATATTTAGGTGGCAGATATAGGTAGGTTTTATATAAATAGGAATGTGGAACATGTGTGGTGACGGATTAAGAATACAGAGTGTCAACACCCCTATTCATCCCGTCGGTGTCGTAAGAGCCGACTACGGGCGAAAGCTACGCAGAACAACAGCAATGCAGAGAGAAGGAAAACTTGAAACAAACTCTATACCAACCCCTCTGGCTATCGTGGTATAGTAGTCCCAAACCTCCTTTCTGACGCTAAAGGCTGTTGATGAACATGCTCATTCCTGCTGCATAATCCATTATCTAATACCTATTTTGGGCAGAGTTGAAGAATTTAAAGGTTTTAAGTTGATTTTCCAATAATCAATCGTCCAGTATTGTTCCATTAGGTAACGCTAATGAGAAACTACGATCGTATCGCTAATGAGAAACTACGATGTAGAAAGGTACTACCTCAGTCTACCCCCGTAAGATATAGTATGCGTAATGTTATGATAATTTAAATACAGTTTGGTGACAAGTTGAAATCCTTGACACAAAGACTAAAAGATTATTATAATGAGTATTGAGTATCGAACACTCAATGATTAGGTGCGCTTTATTAAATGCTTGGGCGCTATTAACTTTGTTGAAGCCTTATTGTTAAGTACTATAAACTCAGACCGATAAATTAATTTATGTGCGATTTAACAAGTAAACGTTAATGCTGTGTCACTATTGTAATAAAAATATTCATAGAAGGCTATATAAATGTAATTACGGTGTGATGACCGATTAAGAATACAGAGTGTCACCACCCCTATTCATCCCGTGGGTGTCGTAAGAGCCGACTAAGGGAGCGAATTATGCAGGACAACAGCACTGCAGAGAGAAGGAAAACTTGACACAAGCCCTATACCAACCCGTCTGGCCAGTGTGGTATGGTAGGTCAAAAAATCCTTTTTAAGGAGAGGCCTATGTCCAGCAGTGGACTGTTAAAGGCTGTTGATGTGATATAAAGGTACACAAAAGATAACAGGTCTATTGGTCTGTTGTTGCCAGCTCAGAAAGTGACCTTCCCCTAAAAGAATTACGGTGGGGGAGCGGAGGGATTGTTCTAAGGGGGACTTGGATCTTTGGAAACCTCATTCACTTGCTGGAATTCAACGAATTGCTTAACACATGTATCTGTGAGGCCCGTGTATCACTCCGATTGAGTCAGCTTATTCCCGAGGCATAAAAAAACGACTCAAGCGCGGTCATAGAACTGACAAATGAACTAGTCAAGACTAATGCAATCTCTTAGACGGGTATTACACGTTAAAAATGCAAATTACGCATGTAATATATGTAAATTACGGCGTAATTACACGTTTTGATGGCGTTTAGTCGTTTATCACATTCTAACATGAGCATTACTTGTAATGGACCATTGGATGTTGACCTATCCATCAAAGTTTTTATTAGAATGTTCTGTGCAATTGATCTTTAAGTAATTTTACGTGATGTTTTCGTAACTTTGATATGTTATATTTGTTACTTGTGTATCTTATTATAAGATATAAATATGTCAGTTTCAAGGTGAGTAGGTCACAGATTTCGGCATTACACATAGATGACTGTGAATTTATTATAATCGAGATATCGTATCGACTAACCTCATGAATACAAAGTTTTTGTTAATAGTAGTTATTATGCCTGTAAATCGCGATTTTCATAATTAGCTTCTGTTTACCTATACTTACGCCTTTATCTATTTATTTATTTTTAGATATAAATAAGAGTAAGACGTTTCATCTTCTTTTTAGGGTTCCGTACCTCAAAAGGTAAAAAAGGAACCCTTATAAGATCACTTTCTTGTCCGCTTGTCCGTCTGTCCGTGTGTCACCACCGATTTTCTCAGGAACGGGTAGACCTAGCAAGCTGAAATTTATAGCAGATACTGAGGTCTATGGTCCCTATTAGGTGTTTAAAAATCAAGATCCTGAGTCAACATGATAAAAAGATATGGGCAAATTTCGATTTCCGCGAAAACTTGTAAGTACCAAAATTTACCTTAATTTTCAATTTTTTTTTATTTTTCAGAATTGTGTCTTTACTTGTCCTGTAAGACCTTGCTTTTAACTAAAATTGAAAATTCTAGGTCAACTGGAAGTACCCTATAAGTTTTGAGTCGAAAACCTAAATGGTAGTTCCCGTTGACCTATAATCACCAAATTTGGCAAAAAGAAACGTCTTACAAATTTTCGCGAAAATCTACGTAAAATCTGGGTAGGTACGGAACCCTCGGCGCACGAATTCGACTCGTACCTCGTTTTTTAAAGTAGACGTAGGTAATAATGTGGATTTGAAGTCGGTAACACTTTTTTTGAAAGTTAATTATTTAGAACTAGTAACAATAGTAATAATATCTTTGACCAGATGTATAATTATCGACTCACATTACGCAAAAGCGAGTCAACGGTATTTAATTCCTTATTTGCTTACCAAAGTATTACCAGACGAGATAATGACCAATTCAGCTATTATTCTGAGGTAGCCGAGTATACAACTTGTTATTTTCAATGTTTATACGAATGTTTATTGTTTTAAATGAACGGCTGTAGACATTTATATTTTTTTTTTATTGAACATGTATCATTTCGATGGTTTATTCCACTTTGTGCTGTAATATACTGTACTATGGATAGTGAAATGTCCATTTTATATGCTAATTTGCATTTAAAGAGTTTCGTAATTAGCGTTTTAGTAGGCAGATGACAAGGCGTATTTAGATGATATTGTGTAAGTTTTAATTCTTGATGTAGCGAAAAAGCAAACGGGTGGCCTAATTAAAAGCGACTTTAGCAGCACACGGACGGCTGAAACTGAGGAGTCACAACTCGTTGCCTAAATTTGAGGTGGGAATACGCTCTTTTGTTTATTCATTACCGTGGGAGAGCCATGCTTCGGCACGAATGGGTCGGGTCGACCGGAGTGATACCACAGCCTCACAGAACACCGGTTTTAAGCAATTCTTTCATTGCCATTCACTGAGTGAGTGAGGTTATCGGAGCCCATATCCCCCCACCCGCTGACTCTAGCGGGAGGGACTCGAAGGGCAGCAACGCACTTGTGACTTTTGAGTTGCAGGTGTCCATAGGCGGCAGTAGTTGCTTCCCATCAGGTGACCCAGTATCTCGTTTGCCCCCTTATACCATAAAACAAAAAGAAAAGGGCTGGAGTTCGTATCGGTCCAGAAATAAAGCTGAACATTGGTTGTGTGAGGTAAAAAGTTTTTTAACAAGTGATGGAGTGCCAATTATACACGTGATAGGTATGGATGTTTTGCAGTGTGGAACGATGGCGGAAAGCTGCGGCTGGTATTCGTCTAAACAATTCCTCGGACCACTCCCCATGATACAAGCGATAGAAAATGCTGAGTGAAGCTACATCTCTACGTAAATAAGTAATTATGTTACTTCTAAAACTTTTATATACGTTCACAAACTGCATGTACATTCGTTTTTTTGCAGAACCAGAATTGAACATCTGTTTTATAGGCAAATGGGCAGGCGAGTCAGCTGATAATAAGTTACTACTAGCACCATGGATACTTGTAACTCAAGAGGTATAACACCCCAACTCATTTGAGTCCACACTTCTCCCAGAATTAGGGAAGGGTGGGTTTGGTGTCAACGAGCAACGAAACAGTTGCTTAATACCGGTTTTCTATCACTCCGGCCGAGCATCTTATTCAAAACCCATCAGTCGTAAATAGAACACACCAATATATGCAAAAATTAAGCAGTTAATACCAAGGTCTGCCTACCCACTGTCCAGTTAATAACTTCAATGGTACCATTAATGGCTTATGTAGGTGTAATGATATATTAAAAAAAAAACTTTTTTTTTTCCTTGTTCAA